ACTAATGAATGTGAAGTTCGATATGCCTCCCGAAGCTCGTCCCAAGATAGACGATGAACTAGTTATCCAATCTCCAAAAGGCACATGTTGGAAAGTGGACATCGCGACCCCCTACACCGGCTGGTGCAGAAGCTGCAGATGGTACTTTCATACTGAGGAAAGATGCCCAAGGCTCAGACAAAACGAAGATGGGCGAAGGACCAAAGGAGAGAAGCAAGGCGGACACAGGGCCCGATTCAGGGAGCACCTGCAGAACCAAGGAAGCTCTTCAGCAGGGACTTTGGGCAACAGACGTGCAGACACCCAGATGCAACATTCAACTGGACCTCCTGCACAAGATCAAGAGGCAGCCCGCACTTCCAGACAATCACCACACACAGGCTCTCAGAACAGAAGTTATCCACAATGGCCATCCGATGCACCAGGTGATCGGCGCAAACAGTGGCCAAGGAGCTTAGTGGAGTATCCCAACGCACCAAGGTCTCCCGCAGCATCAGCACCAGTCCTCCAATCAGGTGACTGCCCCCAGGCCCCCCTGGGCGCAAGGCGAAGACCGAACACAAAGTTATCATGTGTGGGGACAGGGAGGGGTAACAGGAGCAGGGGTGCCAGCTCTACCCCCTGGAACGCAAGAAGAGATTGGCAAGGGGATGGTAGTGGGTACGATCGGGTTTACAATGCCCAGATAGGGGGCGTAGCCCCAGACCCACAGGGCCTCTCAGCCATCAGGGACTGGCAAGATTACCATTGGCACCATCGTGACGCAGAGTCCAGTGGTGCACTCCAGGCGCACAGACTTATGCAGCAGCAGCTGGGTCAGCAGGAACAGGAACTGGCGGTGCTCAGAGGACAGGAGGCTTAGTGCAGACAGTTTGGCCAGATAGATCGCCCTATCCCTGGCTATCCGTCAGCTAGCTACGACTGGAGGAAGCTGACGTATGCGGATCAAGGAAGAGGCAACCCCTCCCTAGATTTCTCTAAATGGGACGCCAGGGGAGGAGCGAACAGACGAAGAACGCGACCCAGTGGTTCAAGATGGGACGCCTGGAAAGAGGACCCGCTAAGATCGAGGGGGGACACCACACAGCCGTGGCGGCAGGATCCTCAGCCCCACAACTCGAGATGGAAGGAAGAGGAGGAGGTTGCGCAGGGGGGAGCCTCCGGCACCCCTCGGGCCCGGGCAGAAGCAATTCGAGAAGAGCTCTCGAAGACCTCAGTCACGTCCCGCTCGAAGGTTAGATGGGGCAGTGAGTGCGATGACGAAGGGTGTGGATCTTCTCAATTGGACGATGACTCTTCCTCCCTGAAGAGCTCAGCAGCATCCGGGTAGGGCATTCGGGGCAAGCAGGAAGGAGGAAACAGGCACACAGCAAACAAGGATCAGAGAGCGGAGACTTTCGAAAGAAATAGAATGGAGACTGTCCAAAGACGCTTAGTCCCCTTGCTGTGCACAAGCTCAGAGCAGGGCACCTGTTTTCTGGCAATTGCAAACGAAGCAGATGTCTCAGTTATCCCTTCAGCGGCAGTTGATAGGTCTACTACACCGGCACTGATCCTAGAGGAAACGAAGAAGTTATTCGGTGCGCATGTCCCAATAAGGCTTATTCCGCACACCGAGATGGCTAGTGTTATAGTGGAAACTGTACAGGGGTACACAAAGATGTACTTTCCACTTTCGGATGCAAGAATCCCTCAGGAGGCGGTGAGCATGTTGGTTCAGTCCGGAATCCGGTGGTGTCATATGGATCTGGTCAGAGAACGGAACCAGCAGGAACTGGACCACATCAAGGTGGTACCAGGAATTTCGTCTCTAATATTGTTGAACATTAATGAGAAGCTACTGCCGGCGGAGAACCTGCATTCCAGTTTTCTCGCAGGCAAATTGACTGAAGAGTGGCGGTCGTCTTCCAAGGTTAGCTCAGCAAGAAGCAAGTCGCAGCGCAGATCAAGTAGCTCCATCGATAGAGACAGGTCGTCGCCGCCACAGTCCGACCAACAGGCACAAAGCAACAGCAACCGCATCCAACAGCAGGCGGCCACAAACTCGGTTGATGGATAGGATCCGGGCAGCCACCTGGAACATCCGAGGACTGGGGGACACCAATGGGAGATCCAAAAGGCGCCGATTGAAGAGCTGGCTCCACGAGAAGAGAATTAACTGCGTTTTCTTGCAGGAAACTAAATTGAACGAGGAGAAGCTCAAAGAGTTCGCGCAATGGTGGGAGGGGCCACAGATTTGGGCGCCGGCTCAAGGCAGTCGAGGGGGCATGGGGATCTTGCTACATCGGGATCTCCAAGTGCAGGTGATCGACTCCGAGGCGGACTTGTGGGGTAGGTGGGCTTGGATGAAAGTAGGGATCGGGAACGAGGAATGGGCGCTGATGACGGTTTACGCTCCAACAGCACCCGGGGAAAGAGTAAAATTTTTCTCTAGGCTTATGCAGCGTGTCCTCCGGGTGGAGAGACTGATGATGGCTGGTGACTGGAACGTTTCACTGGATGAGGCCTTGAGGCTGGCGGCTCCATCAGCAAACCGGAACGACGTCAGAAGCCTCCTGGATTTTAGTACAGAGCTAGCGTTATATGATCCGTACCCAGTATTAAATCCGGGCGAGGCAGGTTACACGTGGTTCTCGCATCCCAATAGGGATAGGCAGATTGTGACGAGGAGGCGACTGGACTACTTTTTGGTGGTGGACCAAGTCCTGGACAGGGTCACCTCGATCCGGGAGGCCAGTCAGACTTTATCAGATCACAAACCGGTGGTGGATGAAATCCGGTTGCATCTGGGAATGGAGAGAGGCAAAGGCTTCTTCCGCCTAAATAGCCAAGTCTTGCAGGTTCCGAGGGTAAGTGAGTGGGTGGCAGATCATATGACCAAATGCGAGAATGCAAGGCCGCACTTCGACTCCACTGCAGATTGGTTAGATGGTGGCATCGCAATCACATCCAGGGTCCTTGACGCAGTCTCCCGAATCCTGGCGAGAGAGAGAAACAAGAAGGAGGCGGAGTCAAAGAGGAGAGTGGAAGAGGCCGAGGAGCGAATGGAAGGTCACCCCATATCGGCTATGGTGTGGGCTGCAGAACGGGTAAAGAGACTAGAAGAATGGGACAACTTCCAGATAGACAAGCAAAGATGGTGGATCAATCTGCTCCAGGACAAAGGAATCGTAACCCACGACAAGATGACGAAGGAAACATTTCAGAAGTTGTTACCTAGCAGGGCTCAGCACCAGATGGTCGAACTTAAGCATCCATTCAACGAGCCCGCTCCTACAGCATGCTCAACAGCAGGCATGCTGCAGTACGCAAGACTGTATTATGAGGACGTACTCTCCACGAGACGCCCTCAGGATGGGGTTGACTCCGATCTCTCAACATCCTCCGACATGTGGGACAGCACAGCGGTCCAGCTATGCACAACAGCAAGACTAGACCTGGATCGCCCGCTCTCGTTAGAGGAAGTCACACAGACATTGAAGACAATGGCCAGGGGGAAGTCCCCCGGGGTGGATGGTCTCACAGTGGAGTTCTACGCAGCCAACTGGGGGGCCTTCGGGGAGTCATTGGTAACACTCTACAATGAAGTGACGATTGGAGGCAAATTGGGGACGGGTATGACACATGGCGTGATTTCAGTTCTGTTCAAGAAGGGAGACAAGGCGGAAGTGAGGAACTGGCGACCGATATCGTTGCTGAATGTGTCATACAAAATCCTCGCAAAATCCTTGGCACGCAGACTCTCGAAACACCTCCCAGATCTGGTAGAGAAGGACCAAGGAGCCTTTGTGCAGGGCAGATCCATCTTCAATAACATCGTTACAGCGATCGAGGCTCTCGAGATAGTGCAGAGTGAAAATCCGGAGATGGCAGTTCTCCTGCTGGATCTGGAGAAAGCCTATGACAAAGTTGGGTGGGCCTTTGTCCTCACAACGCTGAGAAGAATGGGGTTTGGAAGGAACTCCTGTGCCTGGATCATCGCTATGTACACTTTCTCAACATCGGCGGTGATGATCAATGGGCACCTCTCTACCCCCTTCGCCCTCACAAGATCTCTCCGACAAGGGTGCCCTTTGGCCCCGCTGGTCTTCATTCTACAACTCGAAGTACTCCTTAACAAGATCCGCAAGAACCGGGTGATCAAAGGCCTGCGACTACACAACGGAGAAGAGTGCAAGGTCAAGGCACTTGCAGATGACTTGTTCGTGCTGAGTGAAAACTCGAAGGACTCGCTGTCAACTCTGAAGAACATACTGAGGGAGTACTCCTCCCTGTCCGAGGCCACAGTAAACTGGAACAAATCTACTTACCTGTTGCCAGCAGACTTCAGACTTGAAGTAGAGTGGGGAATGAGGAGGGTGGAGAATGGGGAGGAGGAGAGATTTTTGGGAGTGCTAATCAGCCTCCAAGTTGGGGCATCGGCGCAAGGTTTGTTGCTGCAACAGAGGATCTCGTCCAGATTGAGGCTATGGGGTGTGGCCTGGCATCTATCTATCATCGGTAGGGCTCTAGTCACCAACGTAGCCCTGTATTCCATCCTCTGGTTCGTATCTGCAGTGAGGGAAATCGCAGTTGGAGTTCTGAAGGTGATAAGGAGACTGGTGGCCCGGTTCATCTGGAAGCCAAGGGCCAAGCAAGACGACTCATTCATCTCAAAAGTGGCCCTGGACACGCTGTCCTTCCCACGGGCGGAAGGAGGCCTGGGTCTCATGGACCCAGCAAGAAGGAACCAGGCGCAGCTTAGAGGCTGGGTAGCCAAGGTGGCCACGGTGGGACCAAGCGAACATTGGGTATTACTAGCGGAACGCATACTGGCGGAAGAATGGGAGCTTGCTAGACCTAAGGACGCCTGGGCCTGCCTGTTCATGCCTTCGTTCAGGAAGAGGAAGCTGAAATCCTGTTTCTGGGAAGCGATCAGAAAAGCCTGGAACAGGATGCCTCCGGATGTACAGCAACCCCCGTCCACGAAGGAAGAAATACTCCTCCAACTGCTGTTCGATAACCCGGAGATCCGGAACCAGAATGGTGTTCCTTTCAAAGCGGATGGATCCGCAGGCTCCTTTGGACAATCTTGGGTCAAAAGAGGGGTAGTCCGCATCGAAGATCTCTGGTCCACACTAACGGGAAGATGGAAGCCTCTGTCGGAGTTAAAACTGGTACTCAGAAGTCTGCAGCAAGTGGAATCCCACTGGAGGAGCATCCTGGAAGCGATCCCCCGGGAGTGGCAGCTGTTACTGGGACCGGAGGGATTGGACCCCCCAGGAACGTGGTATGTACCAAACCCAGACTCCAACAACAACACGGTGTGGAAGGTCATCGAGATTCTCCCAAGCGGCTTCAGACGGGTGGAAAAATGGGTCTGCAAAGACACGTCCAACATACTGTCCAGAGTTGAGGAGGAGACAGTAAGAGGGTGGGACAACCCCCCTCAGGCGAGAGTGGTTGAAACGAAATGCAGAGAACCTGCAGGTCAGCCCCTAACGTGGGTAGGGAAGGTCCCACTACGTCGTCTCTGTATTGATCCATCAGCCTGGAGTTGGTCAGCCAGGGACTCGGGCGGGTCGGGCGTTGCGCTGCTGAACTATTCGGTAGCTCAGGGCTATCAGCACTCGAAAGGCCAACTGAAGTCCCCAACCCAGATAGCAATCCCTCGCTGGCAGGCTGTCTGGGGGGAGGACTTATCGGACGCGGCCCCAAAGTTTGAACGTCTGTGGAAATCGCTATGCGCTCTGCCGAATGGGAAACAGGTGGGCATCCTCTGGCTGCTCTCACTCATGGTAACTCCATCAGCGGTTTGGCTGAGAAGCAAAGGAATGGAGGTCAATCTAGGATGCACAAGGTGCAGGTGGCCGTTTGAGTCCACCAGACACCTCTGGTGGGAGTGTCCGGCTTCCAAGCGGGTGTGGCAATGGTGGAGCCTTCACTGGAATGAAATCGGTGGTCAGGGGGTGGAATGGAACGAAGAATGGGTGCTGTTGGGTTTCCTCCCAGCTCAGCTGTCAGGGAGCAGGGGTTGGGGTTACGTAGCTCACGTGGTAAGAGGTATCATCTGTCAGGTCATTTGGGCAGATCGCAACAGATCCCGTTTCCAGAGGAAACCATTCTCAGACAGGGAGATCAAGGGTGCAATCAAAAAGGGTCTGAGGCAGGCTATCCGGGTGGACTGGAGAAAGAAGGCTAGGGCAGGTAGAGGGGGCATGAGACAGATCCGGTGGCTCCAACGCACTTGGACAGCAAACCATCGGTTGGCCACATTTCAACCAAACAACGGCCCGGTTATGTCCAAGTGGCTGGTGGAAGTGGACAGTGCAGTAGAAGTTTAATTTTCAGTGCAGTAGTATTTTTAGGCAAAATCAGGGCACTCGATTATTAGGGCCGCGGTTGGCCTCTAGGGGAGTGCCAGGGTAGGCCTGGACTTAGTCCTCTGGGCCGAAATAGTCCCAGACGTAGGGTGGCCTCAGCCATGGATGACCTGGATGGAAGTAACACAGTGACAGTAAGGGTAGCCGCTCACATTGTGCTTTTTCACAGTCAGCTCAATAGGCTGGTAGCTGAGGATTGAGAGACCAAAGTGGAGACGTAATTAGGAACCGGGACTTAATAGAGGGAGTCCCGCGGGCAACTGCCTGTAAGCAAAGCTGACTGATGCTGCCAGATTTTCCGGGTTGAATTGTGAGGTCCCCGGCCTCCCCTTTTGTGATCTTAATGGAAGAAGAATGCTGTTTTAAAAAAAAAAAAAAAAAAAAAAAAAACTCTCTGAAATCAGAAGAGCAAAAAAAAGTAAAATAAAACAAGAAAATCACAATAAAATAAAATAAAATAAATACAGCAAGCTGGCAGGTGGTGATCCACAGACCAGGGATCGAGCCCTGGCGAAGTCCGTAACAGTCTTCTTCTTCTTCTTCCATACTTATTTCTGCTTCTTCAACTGTCTATTTCTCTTTCCAAGTTCTTTCATTTCAGCTGCAGTTGAACGACATTGTCTTTCTTTGAGTTATTGCACTTCAAGATAGCCAGGATCATAACATAAGGGAATAATGGGAGTGCAATAAATCGCAGTATCCCAGTGGGACTGTACACTAACTGTGTTTGCTGTTTCCTTGGTTTGGGCCTTGCGGGACTTGATCCCGTGACCTGTAATTTGTCCGTTCGGTTTGTTAGTTTTGACTCTTGAGCCTTATTGGGCTTGAACCTTGAACCTGTCGCTAGTAGTCTCTACTTCGTAGTCTTAGGTTTTTCAGCCTTGTTGTTTTGTCCTTTTCTTCCCTTCTGGAAACTGGTAGGCCCGTAGGTCTTTCTTTTGTGTGTCCTAGCCTTGGATCCCCTTAGTCTAGGTTTCCATCTAGATGCATGTAGGTAGATCTTGACTGTTTGGCCATAGATGTTTGCTGGGACGGTCAGATAGGTCTGTCGGTGGCTTCTGTGTTGTAGGTCTAGGGAAGTCCGGTAGAAGTAGGAAGTCCGGTAGAAGTGGGCAGAGACCGACAAGTTTGGGGTTCTTTTGGTTCTTTTCGTTGCTTTTTTTTTCACGGTTTTGGTGGAGGTCGCATTGCTTCCCTGCTGTGCGATTGTGGGCATGTATGCAGGGCATCTTCTCCACATGCCGCTGGCGGCCATAGCTGGGGCCGGCCAGCTCTATTGGTGACAGCGCTGGGCTCGGCGCCCAAGTGCTGATGAGCGCTTCCTCATATTTGTGTGCTTGTTGGGGTTTGGTCAGCTGCCACCAAAGATGCACTTTCAGCGGTTCTTCTTCTACGCGGCAGATCTTCATCTTCATCGAGTTGCTGTTCTTCTTCATCATTCTGGGAGCTGCGCTCCCCTGCTGAGTGGACACTTCATCTGCAGTGGGCTTCTTGAGTGGTGCAGAGAGGGGTGTTGGATTTAGGAGGGTGTGGGCGATTGGCAGGCTCGATAGGTTGGGTGCTTGCAAGCACCATAGCTAGAGTTTGAGGGAGATGGAGGAAGACGAAGACTCCCCGATACTATGAAATCTTGTGAATAATTGGTCCGTGGGTGTTGATAACGTGGTTGGGATCCTTGGAAATTTGTGCTGTTGATTGACATGGGGAGAAACGGTCATTAGAATTGATTTTTAGAATTGATTTTCATTTCAATGCTATTTTCGGTATTTCTGTGCTTCCACTGTGTATTCTTATCATCCAGTGTGGTGTGGATTGCTCACTCCAAAGGTCACTTTTCATTGCACGTGTATGGGAACGTGTGGATGCCATGTTGATCTCGTTTCAATCAGGCACATAACAGGAGAATACTACCATCACTCCACAGTGGACAAACAATGATTCAAGAGCCTCTAATGATGGTGGCTTAGATCATTTACAAAGTGAACCGTGGCAGCTATGTGGACTGCATGCTCAGCTGTATTCATTTTGCATCCTTTTTGTTCTCACCGTCCCGGCTCCATCCAGGATTTTTTTGTATCTTAATCCTGGAGTACTTTCATAAACTGTTTGAAATGCGCTCATCTGTTAGATACTCTGTGCATGGGACCACCTCGGCGCACAGAAAACCTAATGATTGGAGTGGAAGGTAACTTATGAAAGGGCCTTTTTCACCCGATGTAGGCCTCGGGCCTTGCAACTGAATAACGTAGGCCTTGTAAAAGTAAAGCAGCCTGAAGAGGTATCTCGCCAGGGCTCAGAACGTGGGAAGCAGGTCAAGAGTCCAAGTTCTCTACCAACGGGCACATCCTAAAGTAAAGGGCATTGTCAAAGGGCTTACCTGCTCGCCAACAGTTGTGTAGGTGATAAGTGAGGTGTGTCTCTACGAGTAGCCATTGTGCCTGTTCGTGAACAGAGGAAAGGTTGTGTCTGTATGTACAAAGCTGGTGTCTGTTCGTCTAAGATGTGACCTTTCAAAAGGAAGTCAACAGTTATGTCCCAGTGGCTAGTCTGAGTCGTAGG